TGAGATTACATTTCTATAAAGTTCACAAATGAGCATAACTTTATTACACATGTTAAGAAAGCCATTGCCTTTGGAAAGAAGGGAGGGGTAATAAGTGAGATGCATTCCTAATAGGGTCCTTTCTTGGCAGGTGGTGATTATACCATGTCTATGCACATATGTTACTGTCAATAAAAACATTTAAAAAGAATAGAGTTAACATGAAGAAAAGAGTAATAAAATAAAATAGTAGATGGATTATTAGTTTGTTTTTATCACTATATCAAAATGCCTGAGGCAGGATACTTTATAAAGAAAAGAGGTTGCTGGACACAGTGGCCCATGCCTATAATCTCAGACTCTTGGGAAGCTGAGGCAGGAGGAAGGACCTCAAGTTCAAGCCCAGCCTAGGCAACAAAGTGGGATCCTGCCTTGAAACAAAATTAAAAGGCTAAAGATGTAGCTCAGAGGTAAATCATTCCTGGGTTCAATCCCCAGTATGAAGGAGGGAAAGGAGGAGGGGAGAGGAGGGGGAAAGAGGGGGGAAGAGGAGGAGGAGGAGGAATTATTTAGCTAAGGTATGAATGCTAAGATATGAGAACATGCCGCCAGCATCTGCTTGGCTCTGCCGAGGGCCTTATGGCAGACAGTATCACAACAGTGGGAGGACATGTGGAAGGAGGCAAGTGGCACATGTGGCAGAGAAATTTAGAGGAGATGCCAGGCTCTCTGACAGCAGTCTACTCTCAGGAACTAATCCACTCCTTGAGACCAGGATTAATCCCTTCCAAGGGTGGAGTCATCATAATCTCATTACCTTCCACTGGGCCCCATTTCTTGAAGATTTTGCAACCTCAATATCACTACGCTGAAGACCAAGCTTGCAGCACAAGAACCTTTGTGGAACACACTCAAACTATGTCCAAACCATAGCAAATGGATATGACAAAATCACAATGGTTGTATATAAATAAACTATGTTTGAGAATTAAGGGGTTGGATGACCCATGTACCTCTCTGAGGCCAGGATTCAGTGGGATACTAAATGATTGGCACAGACAGAAATTGCTATAGAGCTGGCAAACAAAAACAGAAAAAAAAAAAAAAAAAAAACCAAAACAAAAAACGATGTGGTTCTGAGCAGTGGCTAACAGTACAAGCTCTGCAGCTAAAATGTCTGGGATGGAATCCTGGCTCTACCACCCCCTGGCCCTGTAGCCTTAAGCAGGCCATTTAACTTCGGTCCACTCAATTTTATATCTGTAAAATGGTAAGAATAATGGTACCTATTTCCATGCCTCTCTCCTAGCTCTTGGTGATGGAAGACGGTCCTTGGCCTACCTTGGCATGTACGTGTGTCACTCTAATCCTGCTTCCTTCTTCACATGTTATCTTCCTTCTTTTTATCTGTTCTCCTATAAGGAAACCAGTCATACTGGCTTAAGAACCCACTCTAATGATCACTGCCCCTACCCTTTTTTCTAGTATAGGGAATTGAACCCGGGGGCACTTTAATACTGAGCTACATCCCTAGCCCCGTGTGTGTGTGTGTGTGTGTGTGTGTGTGTGTGTGTGTCCGTCCGTCCATGTATAAAATATATATTTTTATATATATTTTCAGTGCTGGGGACAGCTATTTACATTTTTTATTTTGAGACAGGGTCTTTCTAAGTTGTCAATGCTGACCTTAAACTTGTCCTTAACTTGTTATCTAAGTTGTCAATGTTGACCTTAAACTTGACCTTAAACCTCCTGCCTCTTGAGTAGCTGAGATTACAGGCTTGCACCCCTATACCCCCACACTTAGCAGTGACTCCAGCTTAACTGGTTATACCTGCAAAGACTTTATTCCAAACAAAGTTATATGCACAGGTATATATGTAAGGACTTCAACTTATTTTGGAGGGACTTTAACCTATAACGTAGAAAAACTGAAAAAAAAAATGTAATGAATTCCCCTATTGCCACTACTAGATTCAAGAATTGTTAACATTTTTCTACTTTTGATTTTTCTATCAGTCTATTTTTGTCTATACTGAATCACCCCTAAATACTGGCCCCTCCCCTGCCACTTGTGCAGTAATGAGGATTAAACCGAGGGGCACTTTACCACTGAGTCACATCCCTAGTCCTTTTTTAAGTTTTTAAATTTGAGACAAGTTCTTGCTAAATTGTGTAGGGCTTTGCTAAATTGCTAAGGCTAGCCTTGAAATTGCAATCCTCCTGCTCTCACCTCCTGGGTCACTGGGATTACAGGATGGTACCACTGTGCTCAACAAATCCATACTTCTTGATCTTGGTTGCACATTGATACCATCCTGGGAGCAAAGATTGCACCTGCAAAAATTCTAATTTCATAGACCTGGGTGCAGGCTAGGAATTGGGGATTTTAAAAGTATCCTCAGTTGACTTTATTTTATTTTATTTTATTTTATTTAAAATATGTATTCTTCCTTAACTTCTAACTAATCATGAGACACGTGTAGCCTTCAGCCCTTAGCCTGATGTTGGGCTTCTGCAGATGCAGGAACAACTCATGTTCGTTCTTCAAGGGAAGTGATGCCGTCCTCCCACAACTCCCCCCAAGGAGAGCTTTTACAACTCTACTTTTTTTTTTTTTTTGAAAGAGAGAGAGAGAGAGAGAGAGAGAGAAGAGAGAATTTTCTAATATTTATTTTTTAGTTTTCGGCGTACACAACATCTTTGTTTGATATGGTGCTNATCTTTGTTTGATATGGTGCTGAGGATCGAACCCGGGCCACACACATGCCAGGCGAGCGCTACCACTTGAGCCACATCCCCAGCCCTTCAATTGATTTTTTTTTGAAAGAGAGAGAGAGAGAGAGAGAGAGAGAGAAGAGAGAATTTTCTAATATTTATTTTTTAGTTTTCGGCGTACACAACATCTTTGTTTGATATGGTGCTGAGGATCGAACCCGGGCCACACACATGCCAGGCGAGCGCTACCACTTGAGCCACATCCCCAGCCCTTCAATTGACTTTAATTTGTGGGGAAAGTCATAACTCACTGGTTGAAGGGCTGAACCAGTTTTAATCCACGGTGTTATGTTTGTCATGTGCACCATGTCACTATTAGTGATGCCAACTTTGAAGACTAGTTTAAGGAGGGAACAGTCAGAGTTCTCCCTTGTAATTAGCAAACACTTGTTGGGAAAATAGTACAACATTTAGAGAACATTCTGTTTCCCATAAATCTCATAAATAATAGTTTTAGCATACTTTAGTGATCCTTACTTGAGTCCATTATTTCACAGGTATTTACAAAAAGCTGATTTTCTAAGCCCACCATTTTGCAAAGAACTTTCCCACATCAACTGAGGTTAAACTATAATTCCACATAAAAAGGGAAGGAAAATGCCTAATTCTTTAACAACTAATTCTTAATAAGAAGTTAGTGTAATAATTATCTCCAATGTAGTGAGCTTTTTACACTGAGTACTGTTAGAGAGTTATTGATTTATATTTACTTTATATATTATAATCAATTATAACTATTCTTACAGATGCTCAAATTATCTCAAATTTAGCCAGGGAGACCCCTTTCAAGCTAGCTCATCTTTATTTTTCTTTGCAGAGACAGATCAAACCTAAGGGCTTCACACATGCTAGACAAGTGCTCTACCACTAAGATACATAGTCCCAGTCCTTTTTAAGTTTTATTTTGACACAAGGTCTTGTTAAATTTCTCCAACTGGCCCTGCATAATCAATCCTCCTGCCTCAGATATACAAGTAAATGGGATTATAGTCACATACAACCTCTCCCAGCAGGCTCATCTTTTTGATAACTTCTCATTACTCTTTGAACATTTCCTTCCTTTCTGGCATAGAAGGTCCCAGGCTCACCTTGAATTTTTTGGTAACATAATCTGGAGCAAGAATTGTGTTGTTTGTTCTAATGGAAAACAGTATTTAGAAATAAGGAACTGGATGATTATCTGGGGTATCATCGCATCTCTGTTCAATGAACATAAATGGAAAATACATATTTTTTTAAAAAAAACCTGAATTCATAATGATAAGAAAAATGGAAAAATTCACCTAATGGCCAGTTACACCATTCAGCGCCTGTAGTCCCAGCTACTCGGGAGGCACAAGCAGAATGATTGCTTAAACCCAGGAGTTCAAGGTCAGCCTGGGCAACAAAGTCATCCTACAAATATGAGGGTTGTTATTGTTGCTGTTATATAGCAACAAGAAATCAAATGTTTTTTATTTCTTTTGGTCTTTGCATATTTAATGGTGGAAGAGTAAGTCAAATTAGTATAGCCATATGTAGGAATATTGAAATGAGTTTCTCTCTCTGTACTGGGGATAGAACCCATGGGCACTTTACCACTAAGCTACATTCCCAGCCTTTTTTTTTTTTTTTTTTTTTTTTGACACAGGGTCTCACTAAGTTCCTGAGACCCTAGCTGAGACTGGCCTCAAACTTGCAATCCTCCTGCCTCAGCTTCCCCGGTTGCTGGAATTACAAGCGTGCACCACTGAGTCTGGCAAGAGTATTTCTCCTTTAAAAAGCACACTTTGGAATAATCAATGACATTGGAAAATAATCAAGCTCCATGGAAAAAATACAAAAATTGTACAAGGTGAAGGATTTCAAATTTATGTGTCTCTGTTTAAACATAATATACACAGAAAGAAAAAAAAAACTAGAAAGAACCATCCACAATGTTTTTGGATGAAGGGTTGGGAGGGGATAAAAAGTATTCATTCCATATTTTCTACAAAGAATTAATAAATGCTACTTTAAAAGGGCAAGGAAAATACAATACGCTTTCAAACTTGGTTAGAAATTATGTTTAAAAATTTCGTGAGAGTGATATGCTGTAGGAAATAAAGAGGAAAAAAGAACAGTGCAGGGTGGAAGAACCGCAACACTCTCCTGGTCACCGCATGGATTAGGAACCACAAGGAGAGGGGAGAGAGATGATGACCTCCACTAGGGCTAGAGCGGCCTCGAAAAGAAAAGGAACTTCCGGGGCGGAGCTATCTGAACCTCTCCCTTCCGCAGTGGAAATGTGGACCTCCTGCACTGTTAAGGTCCACGATTGCTGGGCCTCTACTTCAGTTACTTTGAAACGGTGTCTGAGATTGGGGGTGGCCATGGCAAAAAGCAAGTTTGAGTACGTACGGGACTTCGAGGCTGACGACACTTGCCTCCCTCAGTGCTGGGTGGTAGTGCGGCTGGACGGCAGGAATTTCCATCGGTGAGCGAGCCCGGCTGAAGGCCGCGTGGTGTGCCAGCGCTTCCGGGAAATCCGACATACCTGGCTCATGGTTACCACGGTAACGCGGAAGCCAATGAGCGCCCGGCATTGAGCGTCTCCCTCCGTGCGGGCCGCCGACCGGCTTGTGTGTGAGCTGGTCTGGGTAGTTAAAAAGAACAAGGTGGTTCCCTGGTGAGGGGCTGGCCTGGAACGCCCTGGTTAAGTAAGCAGAAACCAGTTAGCAAAGTCCTGGCGGAGAAAAACTATCACTTCTCGGCACAATATTTAACTTTTAACGGTATTTCCCATTTATTCTGTTAGATATTTGAGAGCTGACTGTTCAGAGGCCGGAGTTGGCTTTCTTTCTTATGGGCAACAGTTTACTGTATAACCGTGTTTCATTATCAGTAACAGGCCACGTGGAATGAATTCGATAAACAAAGAAAAAGGAGAAAGAAATTAACACAGATGGGAGTTTAATTTTTAATAAGTGCTTTTTTTAGGGATGCTTATTATTGTGTGTGTGTCTGTGGTATTGGGATTGAACCCAGGGGTGCTCTATCACTGAGCTACATCTCCAGACCTCTTATTTTTTATTTTGAGACAGGGTCTCACTAAGTTGCCAAGGCTCCCTTGACACTTGCAATCTTCCTGCCTGTCACTGGAGTTGTTGGGATTACAGGCGTGTGCCACCATCCCCAGTAATAATGATCATTATAACTAACATTTATTGAGTACTTAATAGGAACCAGGCATATTACATTTTTATTTTTCCTTTATCTTCAGGACAACTCGTTAATAATCAACAGGTTAATGTCTACCTTCATTTCAAAGAAAAGAAAATAGAGGTGTAGTGGCAATTATGTCCCTTTTTTCTCTGTTGTTCAAGATTGTAGCTAGTAGCCCTGTTACAGTATTTTCCTCTTGGAACTACCTTCATGGTCTGTGTTGTTCATGAAAAAAACTCTTCTTTCCATGCCTTTCCCACTCCTCTTTCCCCTGTGAAGGTTTGCTGAGAAGCACAACTTTGCAAAACCTAATGACAGCCGTGCTCTCCACCTAATGAACAAATGTGCCCAGACTGTAATGGAAGAACTGGAGGACATTGTGATTGCATATGGACAAAGTGATGAATACAGCTTTGTGTTCAGGAGGAAAAGCAATTGGTTTAAAAGAAGAGCCAGGTAATTTATGGCCTGCCTCTTTTCTTCAGAATATTTCCTATCAGCATCTATTTTTCTGTTTATTTTGGCTTACAGACTACAAAGGATGACTGACATGATTAGTAACAGAGACCATAAAATTGTAATATTAGTGATTCATAGGTTGGCTTTAGCTGGTCAGTATCTATATGCATTGCAGTAATATTTAAAATTTTTATTAAGGAAGATCTGAGTATAAAATAGACAAATTTGGTTTTTGAAAGTATTTTGAAACTGTAAAGGAAACAAATCATAATGAATTAGTATGTTTTTAAAGCAGTGTTTTCCATCTTCTGAAGACTAAAGATAATACAAAAGAAAAACATTGAACCGTAAATTTAAATCATATTTAAATTGGCATTAGTAAATAATAGGACTGGAATAAATTAGCTACACTTAAAATATAATATTATTATATATTAAAATATTAATATATAATATATATATAATATATTAAAATATGTAACTGAAATTGGCCAAAATGTATTTTAATTCTTGGCTTGCTGGAAGGTTTGTGTAATCTCTCTGTAGCACCTGCAGGCCCTATCATGGTGTTGAATTAATATCATACATTTTCTCTTTTCTTGCTCCACCCAATGTGCCTTACATTTGCAAGTAAGTTCATGACTCATGTGGCCTCCCAGTTCGCCTCCAGCTATGTGTTTTATTGGAAAGATTACTTTGAGGACCAGCCTCTTCTGTATCCCCCAGGCTTTGATGGAAGAGTTGTCGTGTATCCTAGCAACCAGACTTTAAAGGACTACCTCAGCTGGAGGCAAGCAGATTGTAAGTGACATCAAATAAACAGATGTATTAAACCAGCAATTCCATGCATTAAATGTCTCAATCTAATACAGGTTTGACTCACATGCATTTTGTTAGAATGCAGTATTTTAAACATTTTTTAATTAGTTAAAAATATTTGAAAAATTGGGAGATTTCATAGAAGTACTCTTGTCTGCTTTTTGTTTTTAATGGGAATATGTAGCAATACGAGGTCTGCATTCCTCCTTAGTGATGGACACCTGTACAGTGGCAGCTAAATTTAAACACATACAAAAGCAGTGTGCCAGTCGATACCACTCCCTGTTGTTCTCCTGGGTTACCCATTGTTTTACATATTTGCAGTCATGCAGTTGTGAGCAGGCCTTACATGGCTATGGTGATATTTATGAAACTTTTTACACATTTGGCGATTTTGATTTTACCAGAATTGGAAAAGAGATCGGAATTATATAAATCAAATGAGTATTCATATTTATATAAAGTATAACTGAAATGACCAAATAAAGCTGCTGTTAGGGAAAAATATGTTTATGCCTACTCCTTCCATTCTTTGTTTCCTGGCAGGACTTTGGGCAAATTATTAAATGTCTCTGAGATCTCTAGAGAAGAAAGAGGCATAGCTGTAGAAGTCCTCAAAGTATGAATATTGAATAGAGATTATATATGTAAACTACTGTTTTGTTCTTCTCACAGGTCACATCAATAATCTTTATAATACAGTTTTCTGGGCACTTATTCAACAATCTGGACTAACACCAGTACAAGCTAAAGACAGATTACAGGTATAAAGATCTTACGACTGTAATGCTTAGCTAGGGAACGTTTCCTGTAGTGTGTCCCATAACATTTTTTAATGTTCCCTTTCATGCTTCTTTAGTTCCCTTTACAACTTCATTTGAAAGGATATAAGCATCATAGTAGCAATTCCGCTGCTCTCTTGCTCTGTAAAGCCTGATGAATTTCTAGTACTTCTTGCGCCTCCTTGAACTTCAGCTATAAAATGTACTTGGTAGTATTGGCTCTGTATTCAGCTGCAGCCACATACCTCCTGCCCTCTTCCAACAGGGCCTGTGTGCTCTCTCAGTTCCAGTAGGCCTTTTCCCTCAATGCCAGGTTTGTGGGGCACCTGTCCTTTCTTGAGTGTAAAACCCCACTGTTTAGTAAGAGTCCATGCTTTGGTAGCTAAATAATTATTGAATCATGCTTCAGTATAACTGTATCCTGCCTTGGTTCTTTATATGTAAAATGTAAAAAAGAATAGTTCCTATGTCAGAGGATTATGGTAGAAGTGGCAGGATGCATGTAACATACAGAAAGGTGTGAAGAACATTTTAAAGACTTTTATAAATACTGGCTTTTCTTATTAGATACTAGTGCTACTTGTAGGATGACAGACTCTGAAATGAGGTAATGGATTGTAACTGCTCCTAATAAAATGCCCAGTACATTTTAATTACTGAGTAAATGGCTGTCATTTTTACTACTACCAATGATTAAGATTTTTTTTATAGCAGCAGAAGGAATACTAGTAGATATATTCAGTTTGAAAGACCCTAGTTTAGGTTTTGATTTTCTTAGAAAAATAAAGACAACCTTCAAGCTTCAATAATTTATATACTCAATCTACCTACCTTTTTTCCTTCCTTTTTTTTTTCCCCTTTCCCTCCCTCCCTCTCCTTTTTTATAGTATTAGGAATTAAACCCAGGGCCTTACACACTAAGCAAGCACTGATCTATAGCTCCAGCCTCTCCTTGGAGGCATGGTCTGTCTCACTGAGTTACTCAGGCTGACCTTGAAGTTGCAGTCCTCCTACCTTAGTCTCCAAAATAGCTGTGATTATACGCAAGTGCCACTACATCTGGCTGTATAATCTTTCTAAGCTTCAGTTTTCTCATTAAAGTGGAGGTGTTATGATGATCAAATAATAAACAAAATAGGTACTCAGTTACTTTTAGTTCCTCCTATCCCCTCAAGGTTTTTGAGTTGTGAATCCAGTGTTTGCTAGAGAAAAGAATTTTATGAATATAGGCATCTAAAGAAGATTCGAATGGCTCTTAAAAATGAAAATTCATTAGTAACTGTTTTGTAGCACTGGCTGTTTCTTGATTGATTTGTACAGTATGGAGAGGAAGCATTAGGAGATAACAAAGAAGGCTGGGGATACAGCTCAGTTGAGAGAGTACTTGCTTTGCATGCACAAGGCCCTGGGTTTAATCCCCAGCACCACAAAAAAGAAAAAAAAAAAGAACGAAGATACACAAAGCTTTTCCTATCTGTTTGTTTCCTCAGGGAACTCTTGCAGCAGATAAAAATGAGATCTTGTTTTCTGAATTCAAGATCAACTACAATAATGAGCCGCTGATGTACAGGAAAGGGACTGTGTTGATATGGCAGAAGGTAATGCTGTTATGTTCAAGGAAAGTGTCAGTTAGGGAGAAAGAGCCCATGGCCATCCCAGGCTTTGCCCCCCTGCTGCCTGTATACTGATATGACTCCAGTTGCTAAGGTGAACTAGATCCTTCCCAAAAGAACAAGCTGTAGATTATGTATTTGGATGCTCATTTTGTCATCAGTTGTGGTTTGAAATCTCCCTTAATAGAGGTAAGTAGAAGCATGGGATTTTAAAATTTAGTGTACTTACTTAACTGTGTCATAAGCACTTCTCATATCAAACAAAAGAGTACAGTAAAGGTACAAGGATTGTTGTATTCCTTGAACATGTAAAAAATGCTTTTCCCACACTGGATAATACCATTAAATTGTCCATGCTATGACAAATAAATAAACTATAAAATGAAGCACTAAGTTGTATATGAGGATTTTTTCACTTCCAGAAATTTTGATTCTTAATATTCTAAAATGAGTATGCACATTTACTTAAATACTTGATTCTAGCAATATTTTCTCTTATCAGCTCTTGAGCATAATTATTTCTCTAAACTCATTTCCTGCCTTGCTATGTAGTTTTTCCAAAATGAATGTTTTCAAGTATTATTGGGTAGTTAAGAACTAGTCATTCTACTGGCAACATCATCTCTTTTATTAGTATTTTCAAAACACATTTGTTCTTTGGCACAGACTTGGTTACTTTTTAATGCAGGTAAGAGAGGAGAAATTCACCTTTAATTTTATAATCATTGCTATTAAGGAACATGAAATCTCTTTTTTGTTCCTCATCATTTTTCAAAGTATGGTAATATAACCTTTTTTGAGTATTTCTGATTGGTAAAGTGGTTCACATAAAGTATGCAACTATAAGAATAGCAAGTACAAACGTGAACTTCCCCCACATTTTCCCTTTTCTTCCAAACCCTCTTTTGTGTTAACATTGTCACTACTTTGACTTTTACCTGTAGGTGGATGAAGTCACGACAAAAGAAGTTAAGCTGCCAGCAGAAATGGAAGGGAAAAAGATGGCTGTAACCCGGACCAGAACGAAGCCAATACTCTTACACTGTGATATCATTGGGGATGCTTTCTGGAAGGAACATCCAGAGATCCTTTATGAAGACAGCTGACACTCTGCTCTTCAATTCTGCTGTGTTTAACCATGCAAGGCTCCCAGGTCTTCTTGCCTTAGGTGGCCCTAGCATTCCTGCCACCCAGAACTGTACCAGGAGTGACATGACTTGAGTTGGGAGGGAGCAGGGAAGGAAGGAATTGATGGGGGTGGTATATCTTGTTCTCTTAAGCAGAACACCTCTTTTGCAATGTTAGAACATGATTTCTGTGGGGTTTTTTTCCAAAATCGTGGTACTATTTTTATAAAGTAAGAACTATTTAATGCCTTGTGAGATGAGTCATTTTTAGATTGTGGCTTAAGCCTTATAAAAACCTGTCAGCTCTTTTCACCTATGATAGAAAAGAAGCCCAAACTTTACTCTCACCCACGTATTCTTAACTAGAGAACCCAGTGACTTTGAATATCTCACTTCTGTACCCATGTACTTGGATAATCTTGATAGACCTGAAGATAAATATGAGCTAAAACCTGCCTGGTGCCTCTGAATTCCAGATATTCCAGGGAAAACTCAGGGCTTTGTGCAAGTCTCCAAATCAGCAGTTTTGGCTGAATAAATGAGTAGTGGTATTAGATACCCTTGTGTACACCCTCCAAGGACTGATTTTATGGAGTTGCCAGCATGATGATGATCATCATCTTGCCGGAAGCATATGCTAAAGCCACTTACCTTTTTCTAAGTACATGTGAGATATGAAAAAAGAAAATATGTGAGAATGAGTAAAAATGGAAACCATTTTTTACTCCATGTCCTCTAGATAATTCCGTTTTAAAAGCTGTCTTCCAGTTCGGCTGTCTGAAAAAGATTGAAAAGTGGTCTCTACGTAATCAGAAAATGACATTTGAATTCAAGAGCAGAGGGGTCAACATAGCCCTTGGGGCAGCTGTCACATGAGTCCTACTAACTCCACCTCCTAATGGGCCAGTGGAGCTAGGAGAGCTGCAGAGGTGATGGTATGCTGGGAGCTGTTGAAGTGTGAAGGGGGCGGGAAGTCATGGTGGTGGGTGGTGAGTAGCTTACATTCCTCTTGTMCTTACTTTGTATATTAGAGGAAGAAGATTATTTGGCTCAATTAAGATTTAATTAAGAGACAGCCCATGTCCCAGTTGCTGGTCTTGCATTGCAGAATTTACAGCCAAGAAGAAAATGTATTTTTGAAAGTGTGACGGATGGCCTCATCCTTCAGTAATTGACACCCCATCTGTCGATGCCATTTTTTTCCTTCCTGCCCCCCCCCCCCACTCCACAGGAAAAGAACAAGTATCTCATGTTTGGTAATTGCTAAAATGTCTGAAAAAAAAAAATAAAGACATCAACTTCCTTGGCCTTTTTGTTTCTTACACAAATACAGTAAATGAATCTAACATTTGTTTGTATCTTTGGGTAAGCCAAAGGATGCAAATACCTTTGTCACAGCAGATACTCATGGACTTCTAGATGTAAAAAGAAAGTTTTTAAAATGCCTACTTGAGCCATGCATAGGTGTAATCCCAGCAACTTGAGGGGCTAAGATAGGAGGATCTCAAAATTTTGAGACCAACCTCAGCAAGAAGGAAATGTATTTTTGATTTTTCAAGACCCTGTCTCCCAATAGAAAGGGCTAGGAATGTTGTTTAGAGGTAAAACGATTTTAATCCATAGTACCAAAAAAAAAAAAAAAAAGCCTGTGTGAGGATTCCCTTCATAAAACTAGGGGTTTAGCAACCTGATTTTTAACTCCAAAGTCTGCCCTCTGATGTATACGGTTGCTGTTATGTAGGCATTTGGGCAAACAAGGTCCTCAGTATATTAATATGCTACATGAGGGCATAAGAATGTAGCTCTTGGGGCTGGGGATGTGGCTCAAGTGGTAGCACGCTCACCTGGCATGCGTGCGACCCGGGTTCGATCCTCAGCCCCACATACCAACAAAGATGTTGTGTCCGCCGAGAACTAAAAAATAAATATTAAAATTCTCTCTCTCTCTCCCTCTCTCTCTCTCTCTCACTAACTTAGTGAGATCTGTCTTGAAATTTAAAAAAAAAAATTTTAAGAATGTAGCTCTTAATTAGCAAACAATGGTAATTTGGTAGCATTTTATGTTAAACATGGATAAGTAGGCATTAAATAATGTACAAATTTTCAAGACAAAAAACACCAGGGAAAATTTGTACTTTCTGAAGGTCTTATGAGACACCATGAAACCTGTCAATTTCTTCAGAATGTGTGGGACAAGTATTCATTAGTTGGACTGCCAGCAATCCCACAGCTTTTTTGAGTTTTTGTTCAGGCTGGAGGTTTTATTTATTTTGGTAATGGGCATTGAACTCAACGGTGATTTACCATTTAGCTATATCCCCGCTCTTTTTTTTTTTTTTTTAATTTGAGACAAGGGTCTCACTAAATTGCCCAGGCTTGCCTCAAACCTTCCATCCTCCTGCCTCACCTTCCACAGTGGCTTGGATTACAGGCATGCACTGCCACACCCACTTCAGGTTACAGAGTTTAAAGTAATAAACTGGGCTTAATACCAGTGCCTTAAGGAAACCAGTAATGCCATTACCTAGAAACTACTGCTTGATGGTCATTCTATCTATCTTTGTTGTGATATGTATTCCTATATATATATATATATATATATATACACACACACACACACACTTAAGTTTTAATTTTTATCTTGCTATGGTGCTTTTCTCTATAGCATTCTCTTAGGTTTCCTTTCCAAATTTTAAACTGTACACAACAACAACCAATGTAGAGTTATTAATACTAATTGATAGCAGTCTGGAAGATTCATTCTGGTTAGGGAAGGAATTTGTGTAGGTGACTGGAAACATTTTGGCCCTGCTGCATGAGGTAGACTAGTGTAGTGAGGTAGTGTAGACTGTCATTCTAATATCAAAAATCAAAGTCTGCTGCACTGAGGCTACAAAATAACAAGTTCATTTCTGAAAATTCTTGTTCCAGTTACTAAGAGATGCTAGAATAAGCAGTAAACGGGCAGATGGGGAGAGCACAGCTATAATCCCAGTGGCTGGGGAGGCTAAGGCAGAAAGATCTCAAGATTGAGCCTGGGCAATTTAGTAAGACTGTCTCAAACAAAAGACTGGAAATGTAACTCAGTGGTAAGCTCCTCTAGGTTCAATCCCTAGTATCAAAGAAAGTGATTTTCTTTAATACTTAGTTCTGTCCAGTCTTGATGCAATTTTTTTTATCGTAGGAAAAAGGAATGTGGAGTGGGATGCACCACTCTTCACAGTTCCATTGTACACTACTGTCGGCTTGCACATGCATTTATTGTGTACTCTATATGTAGTATCTTAATCCTCAGGAAATGCCTGAGGATGTTAAAATGCCAATCTTAGGTGGCGCCCCCGGGGGATATGGAGTAATAACAAACACCCTAAGTGATAATGATATTGGGGAAGCACCGCATTACAGCAGATTAAGCATGGGTTGACAGCGTTAACCTGTCAGAAGTGCGTGGAGAAGTGCGAGACCCCACCGCAGGCGGCAGCCTATTGCCACACCCCCTGGCAGGGGCCCAGCGCGGACTGATGCTGCCCCCCGGCGGCCGCGCCGGCGCAATGCGACCCCGCGCCGCGGCTGCGCAGTGCCGCCCTCTGGCGGCCCCGCTCCTTCCTCCCATCGGCCTCGGCTTGCGGGCCTTTCAAACATGGAGGAGCGGGAGCGGGGGGCGAGGCCGGCTCTCGCCGCGAGCCCCGCGGGCCCGCCTAGCCCGCGGCTGGATGTCAGCTCTGACAGCTTCGACCCGATGCTGGCCCTGTACGCACCCCGCCTGCCCCCAATTCCCTACCCCAACGCCCCCTGCTTCAACAACCTGGCCGAGTACGAGAGCTTCCTCAAGACCGGGGTCAGGGGCGGTGGGCGCGGGCGGGCGCGGGGCGCGGCCGCGAGCTCGGGGGGCCCCGCCGCCGCCGGACCCCCGGGCAGGACCCGCCGCCGCCAGGACGCCCCCGCCCCGGACCCCGAGCGCATCCAGCGCCTCCGCCGTCTAATGGTGGCCAAGGAGGAAGAGGACGGGACCACCGGGGCACGCCGGCGGGGTCCGGGTCGCAGCAGGAAGGCGCCGCGCAACGTGCTCACGCGAATGCCCCGTGAGTCGGGCAGGCCGGGCGGGGGCGGGGCTGCGCGCCTTGGGGGAGGGTCTTGGGAGGGTTCGCCGAGGGCGCCGGCCTCGGGGAGGGGCTGCTCCAGAGAAGTGGATAACTGGGGGTGTGGGGCGGGTCGCCTGGAGTCTTGGAGGGTCTTCAGGAGCAGTAGGAGGGGAGTGGTAAAGCTGCGCTGGTAATTAGGAGCCACCGGGAGGGTCTGCAGAGGTAATACGGGTCCCTAGAAGTGTCAACGGGAGTGAGGAACCACAGAAAGGGTCTACACAAGTGATGGGGTACCGAAAGAGATGGTGGGGCCTGGAAATAGTTGATTTTAGGGGAAATCGTAAGCTCTGCAGAGGTGATGAGAGATTTGGGGGACCATAAGGGAGAAGTTGGGGGAAGAGCACACAGCCAATATTAAGGAAAGGAGAGTGTCTATCTGGGCATTGGGGTTTGGGGATCAGCTGAAGTGAGGAGAGGTATGTTTGGATAGCACAGGGATATAATATAATAACTCCTACACAGGAAGTGACAGCTCATTCGGGATGCAAAAAGTAGGAGAAGGACTGCAGGGTCTTGATACACATATGTTCACATTACTAGATCACAAGTGCTGGAATGCAGCAGGCACAAAATGCCACTAAAATGCAAGCTGCTTTACAGCCACTCTGCCTGGCTGGGTGCAGGACTGTGTCTGGCTCCTGTGACCATATGCGCAGGTTATTTTAAGTTCTGAAGGTGTAAATGGCAGGGGGGAATTTCTTGGAGCTTCCTAAGAGATCCTTAGAGTGCAGCTGTAAACAACAGAGGTACTAATGTGTGAGTTAGCTGTTGTATAAGTAGAATAAAAACAGTCCAGGGATGTATCTTTTGTCATCTGGCAAGCAGTTCTGACATCTGCCCTGTGAACACAATGACCTACTTAGCCATTCAAAGCATCTGTATCCTGATAATTAAATTGTTACATTATTAAATATCTTACTTTTGAATGGAGGGGTATGCTATGCAAGAGATTATTTTGCCTCATTCCTAGAAATTGGTTTATTAAGAAACAAGCATCCTGAAAAGCTGTGTGCTGTTGTGGGTGCCTTTGTTGGATGGTTTACTGAGCCAGAACAAAGCATCCCTGCCCAAGCTAGGATTTACCCTAGCTTGCTTACCCAGCAGTAACACAAATGGTAGTGTGCTTGTTCCTAAAATGAGAGCAGTTTGAAGAACCTTATTTTGTCTGTATATGTTGTTCCTATTAGGTTGTTGAAATGAACACCAAGTCCCAGATTGTAACATTTATTTCCATTTTATCAGTTATTGCTTTGCTGCAGAGATTGTAAAGGGAAAGAAATATTTCTATAAGTGATTTTAGCTTTACTATGGTGTTCTTTACTATATTGGTATGTGAAGACCAGATTTATCCTTTTCCCATGGTTAAATATTCACTTGGGATCAAGATCTCAGACAATGTGCCCTACTCATTGAAAATTTTTACATAGCCCTGTAAACATTTGAGTGAGCCATAGATGGGTTAACATCCCAAAGAGTTGATGATCTTCAGAAAGCAAGGAAATGACAGATGCATGGGTAAGGATTAGGTTTATTGACAAAAAAGTTCCTATAAGAGGTAAGCTTTAGGTCTTGAAGAAATGGCATGGTGGAGAAGTTTTATGGGCTTTTTTTGTTGTTGTTGTTGTTTATTTGTTTGATCAGGCTATTTAGTGTAATTTACCTGTAGCAAAATTCAGTCTTTTTAAGTAGATTTTAACAGGTGTCAAAACCTCCTAGGTTTGCACACTGACTCCTCCAATATCTATTTTACTTTAGGTAAGTTACTGAAACTCTTAGGCCTCATTTCCTGATCTGTAGAATAAAAACAGTAATATATAGTTACCATTGTCAAGATTAGATTGGTTGACGCATTTACAATAGTAATGTTTCCTAGTTCACAGGGAAGTTTTCAATAAATGTTAAATGTCAGTATTATTGTTGCAGTTGTTACTTTTAAATTGTCATAATTAAAAGCCTCAAGTCAGAACACGTATAATTTTCTTATATTGAGAGTTGGCTTCCTGTTTTTAGATAAGTGTCCTCAAGCAAATTTCTTAAATGTTTCTGAGCCTTGCTCTTATTCATAAATTGGGGTGAAATAAGAGTACCTATGAGTTAGGATGCTTATGATGATTAAATAACATAGGTAAAATTAAACTTGCCAGAGGGCTTGGCTCATATATAAGGCCTAGTCATGGATAATAATGATGGTGGCAGCAATAAAGATGATGTTGTTGTGGATGTGAATTAGAAGATCAGGAAACTTGTAGTAAACCAATCATCTGATAAGGCTCTGGACTGACCTGTGCTGTAGAATGAGAAAGGACAGGTCTTAATTTTTGAGAATCTGTCATCTGAATTTAGTAATGGCCACAAGTGGAGAAGGAAACATCAACTAAAACTGACCTAAATTTGTAATGATGTAAACCAAGAGTAGTGGCAACAAGGAAGAGGATTTGGAAGAATAACCTTCTTCAAGGATAAGGCTTTTTTTTTTTTTTTTTTTTTGGTATTAAGTTTTAGAAACCTTTCTCATATCTGGCTGAAGTCTGTCACAGAGATGGCTCTAAAGAGAGTGTGCATTCTGATTTGAAATGGGGAGATCATTTTTTCTTATACAGTCTGCTCTCATAGGTGGTGCTAGTGTTGCATTTTTGATCACACAGGAGAGGAATGAATGCTCCCTGGAATTACTCCTTCTTAAATCTTGAAAGAAAAAATTATCAAGAGAGAATTACCAATGTAAGAGCTGAAATACCAAGTTTGCCATTTACGTAATTAGATCAGTTTCTAAGAAATTGAATTGTAGAGAATTATTCCTGAAATAATCTAGAAGTTATTCTAACTTCTAGCTTTACTATGGTGTCAGGAAACTTTAACCCTTAAGGAAAAGGTACTAAAGGTCATACACTAGTTGTAGTGACCTGATTGTTGTTTACAATGCCTGACTTAGCATAGCTGTAACGCACATGTAGATATGTGTAGATATATGTGAGAGCCCATACAAACCCTTATCAGAGTCTCAAAGGACTTCAAAACATTGTTAGAAGAGAGGTAGATGATGAAAGTTAGACCAAGGATTTCCTGTTCCTTTCCATCATTTCTGCCATTTTGCCTATGTTTATGCCAATTTTCATACTGAACTAAACTCCTACTTCTCATCTGTTAAGTAATTTTCTTCCAAGAGTGTTTTCTTTCATTAATCATGGCCGTCATTTATATGCCAACTCGTGAATGAAGGGAAAAGTAGTCAAGAGGAACTAAATTAGTGGCAGTGTAGGACTGCACTCTTATATGCCACTGGAAGCAAAAGAAGTATATTTTTTTTATTTGTTTTCGTATCAAGAACAAATACTATCCAAAGAATTTTGCCTTGCAAATTTAGGAGATCCCGTATATGAATGTGTGTGTTCAGGGAGATAGGTTATATAAACTAGAGCCAGCATATTGTGAGAGATAAATTAACATGAAAAAATTTTTTAATCCATCCTTTTTTCCATGCTCTGAAAAAATAATCCCTCAAAATAAAAACTGAAATTTGGCCAGGCATGATGGGGCATGCCTATAATCCCAGTTACTCCAGAAGCTGAGGCAGGAGATAGTAAATTCATGGCAAGCATGGCAACTTAGAATTTGTCTCAAAATAAAACTTGAAAAAAGGGCTGGAGAAGAAGCTCAGTGGTAGAGTGTTTTCCTGGCATATGTGAAGCCTTGATTTCTATCCCCAGTACCTCAAAAATATAAACAAATGAATAAAAGATGAAATTTGGACTGGGGATATAGCTCAGCAGTGGAACACTTGCCTAGCTGTGCAAGGAACTGGGTGCATCCCCAGTAACCCACAAAGTAAAAAGCTGAAATTTACAGTCCCATTCTTGTTCCTTTGAATTGTCATATTGTTCTTTTCACCTGATGCTTATTAGCAGTCTCATAGGAGCCCTTTATCTACCAAGTACCAGAATACAACCAGACCTTTCCTCTTAGTATAAATAGGCTATACATTGAAACACCAGTGACTCCAGAGCTCATGCATGGAGTAGCTCAGGTTGGTAGGACCATTTTCTTTGAGAGGATGGCATATGTTTGAAGGCATATGTGTTACACAGATCATTTCCTTCAGATCTATGAACAAGGTTTTCAGTTCTTGGGAAATCTCAAACTGTATGTGTGGCATCATAAGATTTATGCTGAATTCTCTAAAAGCACAGAATTGAGGTAGCTGCTGAACTGTACATTTAATGTGGTATTTCATTTTTTGCCTGCAAAAGTTCTTAAATGATGACATAACTTAGAATTAGTGACATCACAGAACGAAGATACATAGGTAGTGGAACATTTAGATGACATCCATACATGTGGTTTATTTGCATTCTGTTGGAATAGGGTCTCATTTCAGTGTGTTGGCTGTACTAGCCATGTTGCTCATTAAACTTTCCAGTTCCAAAAGTGAGGTTGTCACTGTGCATGTTGCCTTGTACTGCTGGACGTGGCCAAGTGATCTTGGCTGTTAATTCTGGAATTAACAAAGGTAGATGTTCTTACTGTACTGACTCTTTTTTCTTGTTTCAGTGCACGAAGGTAGCCCTCTGGGTGAATTGCATCGTTGTATCAGGGAGGGGGTGAAGGTGAATGTTCATATCCGCACTTTCAAGGGACTCCGGGGTGTCTGCACAGGCTTCCTCGTTGCATTTGACAAGTTCTGGAATATGGTAATTAACCTTTTCTTAAGGGGGCTGGAGAACCTACTAAAGAATGAAGTCTTTAAAATGTCTAAAAGATCTGAGAAACCTTATTAAGCAAAATCAAAAAATAACTTCTCAGAAGAATTAAAATCTCTATATACTCTTGGACAAAAGCAACAAGTTATTTTTATTGCTTCCTTTTCCTTAAGACAGTGGGTGCTCAACCAGGGACCTATGTTTTGTTCTTCCCTTCCTTCCAGATACTCGGTAATGTCTGGGGATTTTTTTTTTTCCTGTTACATCTGTAGGAGTGTGCTACTGGCATCTAATGGTCATGGATGCTACTAAACATCCTGCAATACAGAAATCACCCCATTTGCAACAGCCACGTGGTCCAAAATATCATTACTGTCAAGGTTGAGAAACTCAGCCTGAAGGAATAATTATTGTACCTATTTAGTGATTTTAAATTGATTTCTATCAACATTTTTAATTCATTTAAAAATATTTATTGATTTCTCACTTTGGCTGAGCAGAAGTGGTAGTAGATACAGAAGTTTCAGAAATGAATTTCACTCCTCAGTGTTAGGGAAGATGGCTAAGGCTAGGGTGAAGCAGACATTAATAAACTCTGCATGGTGTTTCCTCTGAAGGTGTGTCCCCAGCATTATAGAGCTTACTGTCTCACCGGACATTTGTAGGAGATAAGGGATATGTTACAGTAATATGAGGCAGTCAACCAAGAACCACCAGGGTTTTCCATTGTTTCTTTTCCATTTCCAACTTTCTTTTTCCCTGTGCTTTATCCGAATCTGTGCATGCCCTTGGATAATAACAGTAGTTACTAACATTTATTGAGTACTTGCTGTGTTTCAGATATTGTTCTAAGGCCTTTATTTATTATTTTAATGAATGAATTGTAGGCTTTATTACGGTTCCATTTCACAAATGAAGAATTTGAGTCTAGAGAAATTGCAAGGCTGCTTTCAGGTCACACATTAGTAAATGGAAGTACCAGACTCTATTCTGGGTCTTTCTGACTCCTAAAACAATGCTTTCAACTATTATGGAATTTGAATCCTAGCTTCCACCTAGCTTCACCATGTGGTGGCTGTAGGACTCTGATCCTCTGCTTTCTCTTTTCTAAAATATAGGAGAAAATACTTTATTATAATGTTACCTTTGAGGGGAAAGGACTTAAAAATAAACTTTTTTATGGTAGTAATAATAATTTATAATTTTAATATTACAAATGTAGTTATTAGATTATAGTCATAGGGTGATGTACATTTTTCAGAGTTTCTGTCATATACTCTCACTTGATCCTGACAGTTATCCTTTGAGGTTGATCTCAGTGATGAGATCTCACCAGTAAGGCTGTATATAACCCTGGGTGATCTGTTAATTGCTGTCATGTGACACAGAAACTGAGGCGGGTAAAGAAGCAATAGTATTCCTCAAAGTGTAAAGCTATCCTGCATCAGAATCACCTGGGGTTTCTAGTTTAAATAAAAGGTTCTTGGGCTATTTCCCATACATACTGAATCAGAAACATTAAGAGAATAGATTTGAATTTGTTTTTGTATTTTAATAGGCTTCTGCATACACACACACACACACACACACACACACACACACACACTGAAATTTAAGAACCTCTACCATGTAGTTGTAAAGGCCCTTACCATCCATAGGATAAATTCATCTTCTTACATGGTGATAACAGTGTAGAAATCCTAAGCAGAGGGTGTTAGTAATTACTGTGTTCTTCTGTCCAAGAAGAGCAGAGTCATGTGTTAATTTAGTTCTGTTACAAGTAGATATTATTATAAACTTTCCACTGAAAGCAAAAAAAGTAATATTTTTAATTCTGCCTCTCCCCCTGCCCCTTGAACTGTTCCTTTAGGCACTTACTGATGTGGATGAGACCTACCGAAAACCTGTTCTAGGCAAAGCGTATGAACGGGATTCTTCGTTGACTCTCACTAGGGTAGGCAGTTTCCTCTAACTTCCTGGGTACCCAGCCTGCTTAGGAATTAAGATCACAGAGCACAGTGATCAAAAGCTCTATGGCCTGTACCAGGGTCTTCTTTAGTCTCTCATCATGCTTTCAGCTGATCTCAAATGCATATGTGCTTCTAACCTGCATATTTGAGAAAAACAAGTTGTTTTTTATAAGGCTTAAAAGTCTTCCAGCTGTATACCACAGAAATAAACAGGTTCCTTTTCTCTTGACATACTTAATGATTTATCCAAATTATGGCTGAAAACAGAAAAGTCCTTACTAACTTTTAAAAAATTGCAATGCATGGAGTCTACAGAGCATAATTAAAGAACCTGGCCTTTTTCTGAGTGTTAAAAGAGGGATAGTGAAGGCTAAAGAGAAAGCTAATGTTTGTCATTGCATTCCTTATAGCTATTCGATCGGCTGAAACTTCAAGATTCYTCCAAGAAGGAAGCAGATTCTAAGTCTGCAGTTGAAGATTCCACTCTGTCCAGATACTCCCAGACATCCACTTGGAAGGTGGCTTCAGTGTGGGGAAGAGAAGACACTGACCGGGGCTCACGCAAGCGTTCCCGATCTGTCCCTTCTTCCCTGCAAGCATCTGCAAGAGAGGAGTCCAGATCAGAGCTGTCAGGGAGGACTACACGGACAGAAGGGTCTAGTATGGGAGGTACCTTTTCCAGGGCTACCACCCTTTCCAGGGGCCAATCCCGTAAAAAAAAACGAAAGCCCAAGGTGGATTATCAGCAGGTATTCACCCGACACATAAATCAGATTTTCATTCGAGGTGAGAATGTCCTGCTGGTTCATCTTGCACAGTAACCAGCTCAGCCCCACTTGAGCTTTGGTTTTTAGAAATAAAGTGCATGAATTGCTACTCTGCTGTATCCTAGTATCCCAAGGAAACCCTGAATTGGAATGCTTCCCTCTGGTCCTGCACCTGCAGAGGACAGAGCAGGCTCGACCCTCTGGAAGAGGAGCTCAAGGGGAAGATAGGCCTTTAGGAGAGTGGGCACTTGAGTTACTGTCAAGATAGAAGCTATGCTTAGGTACAAGGCTTCTGATGGGTGTCATGGTCTACTTCATATTCTCAAACCAAATATAAGATCTTCCATTTGACTCAGCATCACAATATAAGCAGAATTCACTCTTCAGAGATTATAGAAAAAAATGTCTCAAAAATTCTCATTTTTAAAAGCTTGTATCCTGACAAGTCATGAATTTGAACCTAAGAGTAGCAATGTAATTGCCCCAGAGGCCTGCACCCACATTTTGTAACTGACCTATGAATTTTGCTCTACACAATTTTCTCTTGATCAAGAAGTGAAATTTATTATCTTTGACTATCTATAAGGCTAGAAAAGTTGCCAACTAACATAGAGGTGAAATTTAGATAGGTTAGGTTACTGTGCTCAAAGCAGGCAGCAGTAAATGCTGTTTTGGTCTCTTCCTTGTTACAGAAAGAATGCAGAACCTCATCAGTCTTCCCCTAACCCAGAGGTAGCCTCTGCAAACAGCATACCAGATGGGACTGTCACATGCTTGTGTGGTGGCTTCTTGTTCTTCTGACTTCTGTGGCATGGTGCTAGTGCATGTACCCTGTGGTATTACCCCGCTGTACATAGTGTGAACTGTCCTGTGAGCTTTGTGGCAGGAGACTGTGACCTTCATATCTGGCTTCAAAGAGTTCTACATGAACTCAGTAACACACACACACACATCAAAGGGGCTGAGAGTCCCCTTTCCAGGCGGGACTGGCCTTGTATAGAAAATCTTTCAGAATGATGTAACCATGAATTAAGGGTGGTAGTTTTATCCCCACGTGTCAGGCCAAAGAGGGTCTTATAAAGTACAGTGGGTAGTGTCTAAAGAGACACCTTACTCACAACTTGGCTTGGGTAACAGGAAGCCACAAGATCTGTGGACGTTCCTACTTGAATCATTATGTGCTTTTTCAATCAACAGTGCAGAATAGGCTGCATCTTGACACAGACTGTTAGGCAATATTGACTTTTTGTTAGTTTATACTTGTTTTAGATAACTTATGTTCAAAGTGAGAATAAGAAATAACCAACCAATTAAAATGTATGAAAAGGAGAATTTTCCCTGCTGTGTTTGTCATGTCACTTGGATAGCCTTCTGAGAAGCAGGGTGAATGAAGTTTAGGGAAGTAGAACACCTGGTTCTTCTGCGAGCTGGACCACCGGCTTACCACACAATGAAAGGTGAGCAGATTTAACCCCTCTGTGCCTCAGTTTCTCCCATCAGACACCTACCTCACAGGGACATCATGACAAAGAATTTTAGGAAGGCCTTTTACAGCCTCTAAACACGTTTAAGTGCCATGAATAACTTTTACGATCTCTATTTCATAGCTCTGTAGAACTCTATATGTCTTATGAGCAAGGCAGGTGCTACATGAACAAGGAATCTTCCTAAGTGACATATTATGGTCTTGTAATTATCTTTGGAAGGCAGAGAAACTTCAGGAACTGTTTTCCATATTCCCTTCCTTCCTCTGGAAGGACAATGAAAGTTCTCAGAAGAATATCATCAGTAAGAGAAAAGTGACCCTTTTTGCTGCTCCCCCCACATCCCAGCCCCCACCTTTTTCTGATAATTATCAAAAAATATTCCCTTGAACTTTGCAAGGTGTTTATATGATAAAACCAAAGGGAAAATGAGCATCTAAAGATGACACATCCCCAAAGGGGAATTTGTGGAAGTTTTTTTGTTTTATGTTTACTTGTTTTTATTTTTTCAGTGCATATTAAAGTATACTCTAGAGCCAGATCAGATGCACTAAAGTTTAAAGAGATTCCAAGTCACAAACTTAAGTCAATAATTATCTTAGGAATCAGCCAGTTTAAATTCTCTTCTAAATAATGTGTCCAAAACTCTTATTATCCAAATTAATGGTTGTGCTATTTATCATCAGGCCTGCATCTCCTATGTGGCTGTATTCATCTGCCTGCCTGCTTGTCCCTCATCTAGAAACCATAGTACTATTTTCCCCATAATGTATATATTTGGAATCAAAAGGAATATAATCAGTTCCCATTCATTCTAATGCCTAGTTAAATCTAACCAGATTTGTTTAAACATGCCAATTTTCATGTTTATGTATAACTTTTATATAGCCACATAAGGATTGATTTACTATTTTCTCCCACATAACAGTTCTAAGAAGATTAGTTTTAAACTGTAAGATATAACCAGATATGCCATATGAGCCCATTTATTTGTTTAGACAGTGATTCTGGTGTTTCATACAAAGAATGATAATTATTTTTAGAGAAGTCAGTTTTTTTTTAATTATTGCTTTCTCTTTCTCATTGGAGAAATTTTTCAAAAGTAAAGAAAAAATAGGTCCTAACACTGTATTGCTGCTCAAATGATGTTATCATCTAAGGCCAGTATAATAAGTTGCTCTGGAGTATGGGGAGTAGCTCAGTGATAGTATATGTGCTTAGCATGTGTAAGGCCCTGGGTTCTATCGACAGCACCATAAATAAATAAACAAATATGTTTTTTAAAAAGTTGCTATGGAAATAACTGAAGTCTTCCTCAGGAGAAGGAAAGGGCAAAGTAATGGTAGGGTACAGGCACCCTCCTCCCCCAACTCACCTGGGATAGGCCCTACATAGCTGAAATGCAGAACTGGTCTCTGGTATTCTCCAGGGATTCTGGCTTGGGAAGCTCATTAAGAACAGTATATATTTTTGAATATCCAACTTTGATTCTTCACAGTAATCTCTAGGCACACAAATATGTTTCCAAGACAATTCACAGGACATACCTGTGCAATGGGAAAAGCTTCTTAGAATTATTCAGCTTTATTAGGTAGTAATGAGTGATTAAGAAACTCAAGATATGGTTTCACACTTAGAACAATTTTAGGTGCTGTTCTTTGTACACATAAGTGACTCTGTTGCTTCACCCTTAGTAAAACTTGCACTTGGTTGCTTTTTTTTTTTTTTTTTTTTTCATATTGGGGAACATTTCTGTGTCTTCCAGGGACCATCTTGTGCAGAGGCAGACAGCTTTGGATCAGTTGGCGTCTTACTCTATGTGCATGGCACAGGTCAAGTCAGAAAGCCTGGGGGATATTGACATTAAGGTCTAGGCGCATAGAAACAAACCTGTGCTACCAGTTATTGGTGGATCAGGAGCAGCTTCTGTCCTAGGGTGTAAAGGTGAAGCAGTACCTGCAGAGATGTCAGGTCATGTATGACCTGCCCTCAGTCCCTACAAGCCTCACCTCTGTGTACCTTTCTATCCCTTGAGGGGAAAAAAGAACTAGAAACCTAACTTGATACAGAATGGACATTTGTATTTCTATTTGCACTACTACTTTAGCAGCTCACATGGGTGAAGTCATGAAATAGAATTGATTCTATAAATTGTTTAAATTTCCTCTAAATTTTGCCTTTAGGAAAAAAATTAAAATTCCTTTAAGACAGCTAGCTGTCATTGGTGCTGCCCCAGAACTTTCTTTTATGTGTTTTTTTCTGAATGAAATGATTGCTGTGGGAAGGTCAGGGTTCATATAAAAGAAGAGTATCATGGTACAAATATAATAGTTTTGCAGCTGTTTCAATTTTTCTTTTCCTGTACCAGATACATAGTACAGCCAGCCTCATTTCAGTAACTTATGTTCACCAATCTGTGTTTCTCTTCTCCYAGAAGGCCTTTCTTAATGGTTGTAAAGCAGAAGCATCTTATCTGAGCCCATGTTGCAAAGGTGGGCAGTCTGTCATTACTTTCTGGCAAGTTGAGCTGATGGATTTAAGATAAGCCTTTGGGGTTCCTGTCACCATTTTCTGGCCTCTGAAGAAGGGTTGGGCCTCCTTTACTCTTAGTGTTTTGAGTATTTTTCAAATGTTTATAAGTTCTCTTGCACTCTTCTAATAAAAATGAAAGCTCTCTGTCAAGAAGTGGCTGTGGATGGCTCAGAGATCTAGGAAAAGAAACATAAGTACACCTGAGACTTTCAGTTGGTTTTTTATTTATTTAGAATAAAAAGTAGTTTGATAAGCTACCAGAGTTACTGCTTCTTTAAAAACACTCTCTGAAAAGATAGGAACTGTCCCTTAGGAAAGCTATAAAAGCTATTCCCAATACATTGCAATTGCTTTTGATTTTTAGTCCTTTGGAGCAAATATCTGATGTTATGTCTGATGTTATGTTTTTAGAGCTGTGAAGAAAATGTCTGAAAAAATTTAGGAGTATTATTTAAACTCTGATTATCTGGCTGTATTAGGTGGAGTTAGGTTTTGGGGCAGCTACTCACTTCTTTTCCTGTTGTCCTGACAGTAAAGCAGATAGTAAACCATGTCTTTAAAAGTGATTTTCTTATTTCATCTGACATCTGAAGACATCAGCCTTCTATTGGGCAACCCTGGGGATTCCCCTGTACACCATAACTTATTAATGCTTTTTAGACAAGGCTGAAGCAGGATGACTCTATGTGTTTGTAGTTTCAGTATTCATATACCAGCTGCTGAATGAAAAACCATAAGTGTAGTCTCATCTTTATATTGCTCCTAATTGTTAATTGAAACCCTTCCTGTTTGGGAAGGATTGCTGCTAATAACATCAGTTTGCAATGTTAAGCTTTAGGTATGTGTCATATGGGAGTCTGGAAACTGTAATAAATATGATTGATTTAATGTACTGGCTGCTTTGTCTCTGCTGATTTTGAGGGGCAGTGGGAGGAGTCAGGGAAGTCCATTCCCAAGAGCAGATGCCTATCTGGAAGAGTAAAGCATCTGGAGCCTTCTGCGGTCTCATTATTGTGACTTTGTGCCTTTTCTGTACTATAGCACACACATCTAGATCACCACTCTCAAGGTAGTTTTTTTCCTCCCTCCAAGTTTATTTGAAGTTCATGCTTAGAAAAGAAACTTGGCCCATGTTATGAAATTTCTCTTCCAAGCCCCATGCAAGGGTAACTTCCCTTAGAATATATTGTGCTCATTGGCATTAATCTATTCTCTTCATGATCTGCTGAGACCACCACCAATTTTGCTCCTGAGTATTTTAGCACATTCGCCGAACAGATCCTCTGTTTTACAGAAATATGTAAACTTTCCCCAGCTTTCCTCTGTGCACATACAGGAAGCTAAGCTGCCCAGAGATTTGCCACATTGATTACTTGATCTCTTCTGTGTGCTTCCAGAACTAAATCACCTGGTAAGGTGAGCAAGTAAAAACAACATTGATTGTTAGACAAGAAACCCACCTGAGAGGACAGGCTTGGGCTCAGGTGATCCCCTGACCTTTCCAACCACCACAGTGGAGGAGGGGGAGGCAAGACCCACAGGTTCTAGGTCTGGTCCTTGCTTATTTGTTTTGTATCTTCAAGACTTCTGATAAAAGGACAATGTTCTCATGGATCAAAATAAGGCACAATAGACAGCTGACTTGAAGTTTCAGGTATTCAGTGAGGCTTAAATATKGGCAAGGGAGTGGAGGCCCATGGAATAAGACACATTTCTCTCTCCTGTACTTCCTGGATAGAAGTGGCAAGAAACAAAAACTTTCTTGCCAATCATTTCTCCTTGGATATAATGAGGCATTTTCCAGTCTGCTTAGTAGCCACTAGGTGGCAGTGGGTTAAAGAAAACTGCTTAAATGGAGGTCCTGGAAGGAGCAGCATCTCCGACTGCAGTTTATAGTTAGATGCTCATCAGTAAGCATTGAAATAATCAAGGTCAAAAAACAAAGGAGTGTTCAACCAAGCAACAACGTGGATGCTTCTTACCAATGTTGAATTTACTACTCTGAAGCCTGACTGATGGCATTCTGGTCGTGAATGTGCTTGAAGTACAGGAGTGAAAGAAAGGTGTCCCAGTGCCCTGTTTAGGGAATCTGCCTCTCTTCTCACATCAGAGGGCTTCTCCTTTCCTTGAAAATACTGTCATCCCTACCTGTCCTCTTCCCATCTATTGTCATGGGATTGCCCCCAGAAAAGCTGTCTTGAAGCCCTTGTTTCTCAGCAAATGTGTCCCTTTGAAACAGGCCAGTTCCACCTAGTATTGATGGTTAAAGACCCATTCGTGAATAAGGTCATAGCTCTCTTATATTCAATGACCAGAATGGGGCCTCCACACCAAGGCTATAAGTAGATGTGTTCTTATTATAAACTTGTGATAAACAAGAAAGCATGCCAAGGCCTTCAAAAGACCTCCCCTCCTCACCTCAAGCATAATTTTTCCAGCAGCCTATGGTGAAGAGGAATATAGTATGATCTTCAAAGGAATAATTGAAAATAAGATTATAATTGTGTTAGATTTTCACCACTCTAACAAAATACTCCAATCAACACAGCAAAAGTTTACTTTGTTGCACAGTTTTGGAGGTTCCAGTACTTTAGGCCTGTGGCAGGGCAGCAAATCATGGCAACAGCACATGACAGAGCAAAACCACTCATCCCATGCCTAGGAAGCGAACGAGTAGGGG